TATAATACGTAAAATTTAATTAAATATTTGTTTTAATGATTAATTTTATTAAGTAATACTAATTATTTATTTAATAATTAGTTTTTAACTGTTTTTTGTTCCCCAAAATTGACAAATTCAAAAGGTGCATGGTACAAGAAACCCTGTGGTACCCCCTTGGAAAAGTTCTGTGTGTGCTACTGATAGATATATATATTTATGTTGTTCAAATTTTCCTTAATTAATATAAAATACTTTCTATTCATTTATTCAAGTTTAAAAATTTTTTTGATAAACTTGGATGGAACTTCATGTTAATACAACTTTTTTTTTCAAATATAAATTCATAAATTCTATTTAATTAATGAATAAATAATATCAAATATAATAGAACTACAACCATATATAAAAGTTAAAATTGCTCGTTGCGTCCCTGTAGTGCAATGAATAGCACTTTGGACCTTATCCAAAGGCTGTGGGTTCGAATTCTACCTGAGACGCCCAGATTTCTGAGAGTGTGATTTATGATTATGTAAATAGAGTAACAAACAAAAAAATAGTTCAACACCCTATATATAGAAAGGAATATCATTCTCTGTTTTGCTACTGAATACGATGGTTCTGACATATGTATATACACTTTTTATATTAATTGAATTCTTTAATAAAAAGTAAGTAAAATAAAATTTTTCTATGTTGAACTAAGTACGAATTGACTTAATTTTTTTATATTACTTGTTAAAAATAATTATGGCTCAAATTTAATATTATTTTGAGCTTTTGTAACATTCTAATATGATTTTAGAGTTGGATCTTGTGAGTCAAACATTAATTAATTGAAACATTAAGATTAAATCATGTCATTCACTTTTTCTTATCACTAGAGAGAGGGAAATTCTGGAGAATATTCTTTTTTTAGTCTTTGAGTCTAAAGTGTTTATAGAATTCCAATCATTGTTTTCTTTCTCTATCTCCCTTGAGAATATTTTCAACACTTCTGATTTAAGAATCACGGGCTTCTTTTTACCTGGTTTTCTTTTGCTTTATTTCCTTTATTTTTTCTGTTAACTTTCCGATCCTGAGTTTATCGAGGTCGTAACTCTTCGAACTACTAGTGCTGGAATCTTCTGATGGTCATCATTCCATGATTTCTAGATTTTATTGCTGTTTATGTGGCAAACGTTCACGAAAAAGAAATTCATTGAGTCCTTGCAATCATTAAATTTAGTTTATTGAGTAGAATTTACGTGACTTACAACTAAACCGATATTTTGCAAAAAAAAATATACATTTCTTCATTTTCCTATAGATGTAAAATATAATTAAATACGAGAATGGTTTATAATAATTTTTTTCCCTGCGTATTGTGGTATTTTTACATTTGCAGTCCTAGTTGATTCCCCAGGAGCTGGTATCACTTTTAATTTTGGCACCATATAGGCGATACGAATTGTCGCAAATAATTTTGAAGCTCGGTTTCCTCCCCAGAGGGAGGCACCTGAGCTCTGACGATGCGAAATTGAACTAAGGGCACCCAAATCAAACGGGAACCCCAAGGAATTTTTTACATGCCGCATAATCATACGACATGGCCGCTGTCAATTTTCTGTATCATGAAAACCCACCGACTTGGGCCGGGGTCGAATCCGCAACATTGGGTGCGGAAGGCCAGCGACAAACCAACTACGCCACCCAGTCGGCATAATAGAAAGTGGTATTGATATTCGTAAAATGATTGTTCATTACTCATTTTGGCCCTTACATATTATACCGTCGGTTTATTTCGTCAATTCAAAAAATGTCGCTAAGAGCTGCCATCGTTATTATAATTATTCGAACATGAGAGAGAATGATTTCCATTATTGGCTACACATCGCGACATGTGGCGAAGTTTTTTGATTTGATAAATTGGTCGACCGTATAATACGTGAGTACCATTATTTTCATTCAGAAAGTCCTGCAATTATACTTGATAGCATTTCATATTTGTCTTTTTTTTTTATTTTCTAAAATGTAAAAAGTTCGACAAGATGTACATGCGTAGATTAATTTCAATTTTTCCCAATGAATACAAAACTAAAAGGAAAAGTTAACAATAAACAAAAGCATAATGAAATCGTCATCTTTTAAATGTGCCACAGTGAAAGAGAGAGACAGTTAAGGGTCAATTTATTAAGTAATATTGGACAAAATAGTTTTTACTCTGAATTTAAAATTTAACACAAATACAATAGCATTTCTTATAAACATTTTGAAATTTACAGAAGTATTTTATATTACTAAATTAGTTTTAATTTTCTAATAAATCTGGATCTTTTTTGTTTGTGTTTTGAAAATCAATACTTATAAGTGACAGATAAATATTTTATTATCTAAAATATTTTACTAGTAGGGGAAACTGGGGCAAGATGAAGGGTGGGGCAAGATAACGAATGTCTTAATTTTTCCATTTTCCGCTAGGTAGCAGGATCAACCAAACACTACTGGCTCTCCTATGGCCGTTCGTTAAACAATAGCATAGAGAAGCTGAAATCACCCTTTTTGTGTTAGTTATGAAGCTTTGATTGTTTACCTCTGCCCCGATATAACTTTTATGCACGTGTAAATAAGCTCTGCTACAGATACAAGCAAGGTATATCATTAATTGTTAATATTTATGAGTAACTTAGTTTAAATACTACATATTACCACGAATAAATGTCGATTAATCGACTTCCTTCATGGAAATGGAAACGAATATTTTTAAACAGGCAGTCCGGGGCAAGATGACTAGCTCATCATCTTGTCCCGTGTTTCGTCGGAATTTATTAAGTTAACTATGTTGTATATTCTATTAAATCCTGTAATACTTGTTTATTTGTGTTTTTATCAGCTCGACCATGCACTTCTATTTCTTCTGGGGAATCGGTGAATGTGTCACTCGAAAGGGGGCGACCAGAGGAAGACATTTTAGCCATCCGCTTACAACTTTATGGTCACTCATCCAGGACAAACTATCATAGACAAAAATATTGGTGAGCGTTTGAGCACCGCTTACTACAAAGCAGCTACAGTTGGAAATGCCGTTTAAGGGCTTAAAAAATGTGGTATTGAGACTCATAATCCTCTTGTGTTTAGCGAACATGACTTTGCTGCTTCAAAAACTACTGACCATGAGGTTGTTGACGATGAAACTGAGAATAATAGTGCTAATCCTCAGACCCTGGTAGTAGAAAACCAACATATAAATTCCCAGAAGAACCAGAGCTTATGTCAAATGCTGATTACGATGCACTAAAAAAAGCCTGTTAGTGTTTTTATTTTTATTTTTTATTTCAAACCATTGCCTAAAGCAACACCATGGGAGGGGGAAAAATGAGCTTTTTTTTTGTTACAAGCACACTCATCAAAGAAATGTTAGAACAAAGGAAAAAGCAGAAGGAAGAACAGGAAACTTTAAAAAAACAGAGAAGAGAAGCCCATGAAGTTTAAAAGGGAGTAAAAAAAAAACTCAAACTAAGTTCCCGTAGGCCTAAGTCTATGAAATCCAGGCCAAACAGTCCAGTTCCATCAACTTCAAAGAATGGTGTTATAAGATGTCCTGCTTGTGAAGAGGAATATTGTGATCCTCCAACAGAAGAATGGATCCAGTGCTGTAAAAGCCAAGAGTGGTGGCATGAGGAATTACCAATTATGAAAATGGCATTTTTATTTTTGACTATTGTTAGCTGCACAACTAAACGCTTCAACATTACGTTACAATGCATTATGCTTAGTTTGATACTTTGTAAGATGTAAAAACTCAGTTATCATTTGTTAAACCATATAACATATTGAAATGATAAAATCTGTTCAACCTTTCTCGGTGTGTTGTCATCTTGCCCCAGTAGTGGGGCAAGATGACAATTTGTTAAAGTTCTGAAAAAATAAAATTATCCTTTTTTATTTATTTGAAAAACTATTTGGTTATGTATTTAATACTACAAAGACTACTCTAACACTTCATGTAGAAATAATTTTTTTTTATCCTTAAAAATAAATTAATAAACAAGAAAAACTGTTAACATAGTCATCTTGCCCCGGTTTCCCCTACATTCAATTATTCACGAATATACGAACATGGTAATTATTCACGAATATACGAAAATGGTAATTATTCACGAATATGGTCGGAACGATGCTAAAAGCCACAAATAAGAAAGAGAGAGGTAAGAACACACACTCTGTGTTTATGAATTGTCGCAACATATTGGAGACATTATACGAAACGAAGCACATGATTGTCAATTCAGCGCGTGCAACATAAACGAAATTGGGGTTGCCAACTTCGCTAGTTATTGATAGAGTTGGCGATTGTTGTGATAATACGTAAGTACCGAACACTCTGTATCTTTCAAAAGTTTATCTGTAATAAAGATTAAATCGTAGAGTACATTTAAGTAAATCATTCAACTTTTTCTGAATGAAATATTGATTTTTAAAAAATTTAAGATTAATAAATCAAACATTATGAGAAGTAAATATGTTAATATTTGAAGTATGCTATACTGATATTGAAAATAACATTCAAACAAGAAACATCGTTATTTTAATACAATATTGCTCATACACACACTCAAACATGTGTTATGGATTAATAATCAACATGTTTTTGTAACGCCAATGTAATAGTTTTTCAAAAAAATTTACAGCAATGTTTTCTGTGTGTAATCTAAGAATAAATGAAAGGAATCACTGAAAAAATAAGATTAACAAATTTTTCAATAAAATTAGTAACCACGCCTCAAATTGCTTAGTTAACAGAAAATCTGGAGATAGAATTGAATGTTTACAAACATGCATCAATCGATACATATATTGCGGCATTTTCAAAAAAATAAATAAAAAACAAATTTGACACGCGACGAAGCAAAAATTCAATCCGTGTTACATGGAAACATAAATTCATCCCTAAGCCTTTTTTGACATGATTTTGATTCCTGAAATATCCTTCTAAATCCAAGCATTTTCCACCTACGTTTGCCAATTTTGATCGAATTTACCAAAACGGCTTACAAATAACGTTAGATCTCAAGAGAGAATTTTTACGCTCCTACCGGTTTTTCTATGAAAATGCATCTAACACAAAATATTAAATTTTGAAGATTTCAATTTAAAATGGACAAATTGTTGATACAATATGATAAGCAAGAATGAATCCTATTGAAAAGATAAAGTCACGTTGGTTTCTCTTCCAAGCTGAATTTATAAGTATTGCTAAATTTATATTTTATTTGAAATGTAAGTTTATTAATACTAAGCAATTAAAATATAAGAAAAAGAAAGTAAACTTTTTATTTCTTAAGTGCGCTGATAAATTATATTCTTATATATTTAGAAACCTAAAGTACTTTTGCAAAATCACGGTTCCGAAAGTAGTCGGATACCTTAAACGATATATTTTACTGTAATAAGCTTAAAACAATTTTACATGTATATTTTAATTTAAGAGACACTAAATATATATATATATATAAAGATG